GGGCTGGTTTGGTTTTAGGAGGCTATGTGTGTGTTCTCTGGAGATGCATATAGTATAGTGTAGTAAAGGTGGCATCACTTTCTTCTACACAGACCCAAACTTGTGTGTGGCCATTATGTCTCACACACACACACACACACACACACACACACACACACACACACACACACAATATATTTACGTGTTTGGCCGTGCATGCTAGGTAAGTTCTCTGCCACTGAGCTATATTCGCAGTCCTTTTTTAAATTTTGAGACAGGGTCTCCTAGAGTTGCCAAAGCTGGACGATCATGTATAGAAACACAAATCACTGAACTTGTGATTGTTCTGCCACAGCCTCCCAAGTACACAAATTACACATATGTGCTATCATGACTGATTCTTACCAGCTACCTATATCTGTCTGTCTGTCTCTCTCTGAATGTATCTTTATATCTATATATCTATCTAGATATATCTAGATATGTAGATACACATGCATTATCTATCGACTTAATTTAGTGTTTCTTTCCTTTTCAGTTTTCTGAGTCTGTAACCCATGTTAATCTGTGGTAGTCTGTAATGTTTTCAATAAAAATAAAAAGACAGAACTTATTTAATATTCTCATTTCTCACACCTGCCTATTGATTGTTAGTACCCAGGGGCCATGCTGAATAGCTCAGTTAATGATGTGATAAGATAGAGTAATGTACATTTTTCCCATTCTAAAAGGAACATAATTGTATTTAGGTGGCTTTTCTTTCTCAGGAAAATGAATCTTGGAATTAGCCAAAGTAATCTGGAGTATAGCTCTCTGACTGAAAGCAATCTTTCTCTTCTTCCCTTCCTCCCTCCATTCCTTCTCCCTTCTTCCCTCCCTCCCTCCTTCTACCTTTCCTCCCTGCTTCCCTTCTTTCCTTCCTTCATGCTGGAGATTAAACCTAGGGCCTCCCATACACTAGACAAGTATTCTCCCAGTTGCTACACCCCCAGCTCTTTACTGTTTTGATTGACTATTTTTTCCTTTTCTGTTTGAGACAGAGTCTGAGTTTCCAGTACTGGCCTTGCACTTGCTATCCTCTTACCTCAGCCTTCCAGGTAGCTGAGATTGTAGGCATGTGTCACCATGTCCAGTTTAAAGGAATATTTTTAAATTTAAGCTTTATCTGTAATTGAGAATAATTATTCTGATCTGATGAAATTGTTTTGAAATTAAATTTGTTAATATATGTGAAAATACTTTATATCTGTGTATTTCAAAAATACTGTTGTCGTTTGCTGTTTTCTTTATGTTACATTTTGGCTATCTCATTGGAGTATCACACACCTCTATGAGAAAAGTTAATGAGGAAGGTTGGCCTATGGAAGCAAAATGGAAGTAAATAATATTTATAAATAATGATTGCTTGATATTCCTCCTCCTTTTACCTTTTGTTGGCTCATCATATTGTCACCCTTAGGAAAATCTTGCTCATGCATCCTGGCTCGTTAGAGTCTGATGGAAACAAAGTTTTCCAAAGTATGGTCTTCCTCTGAATGAATTCCTGCTGCTTGCCAAATTTTAACCAGAGATTCTGTTTCACTTCTCTCATTTGAATTTATGCAAGGGATTGCATAGCTCTGGACATTTTGGAAGTGTGTGCTTTGCTCACATTATTTTATGTAGTGTAGAACTGATAAAGGGAGCTGTCAGCCCACCTTCTCTGATTTCTGCCATGTATTTGGCTATTTTTAAGGCACTGATGCACTGTGGGACAGAACTCATGACACAGCCATAGAGCACTACAGTCAGCTCGCATTTATTGAGTACTTACTCAGTAGTGGGCTAGTACCTGCTCTGCAGGATATAGGGATGCATGAGGCAGTCTCCACGTTTAAGAAGTTCTTCTGGGGGAAAGGTTGGCTACTGAGAAGAAGAATCAGGATCCATCATGGTAAGACATGTTGTGGGTATGAAGGAGGAGGAGCCTCCATGAACTGTGCTCTCTGCCAATGAGAGGCTTCTCAAGGAGGTGCCCTAAGGAAGATATCAGCAACTGCCAGGTTACTCTGCTAGGTCAGTGGGATACAAAGATGAAGAGAGGCCTGATTCCCCCCGCCCTCCAGTGTTAAGGATTAAACTCAGGGGCTTTGCACTGAGTTACACTGCCAGTTCTGTTTTTTTTTGTTGTTGTTGTTGTTGTTTTTTGTTTGTTTTTTTGAAACGGGGTCTAAGTTGCCCAGGCTGGGCTCAAACTTGTAATCCTCTCAGAAGCCTGAGCTTATATACTTGTGCCACCACACCCACCTGGACCCAACCTTTTGAGAAATTAAAGATAAACTGAGAATGGATTTTCTCCACTGTTTTCTTTTTTTTTTTTTTTTTTTTTTTTCTTTCTTTCTCCACTGTTCAGTTTTTTAAAGTCAGTACCTACCCTTCAGTATCTGGAGCCATTGCTGTCTTCTGCTTACCCTTCAGTTCTAAAGCCCAGTGCCTTTGCTGTGCTCAGAGGAAGAGTAAAAGCAAGAGGGATCTATGTGTGCACACACTTGTTCTCACTTTTCTACAGCATATTTCCCCTCCTTTTGGGGGAATTACAACTGTTTGTAGAATTTCTGTTTTAACCTGCTAGGAGGTTTGGAGAGTGACTTGCAAATTATTTTCCTTACTTCAGCATGCACAATAAAAGGGTTTTTATTAGGTATTTTTTTCACAGTGTATCACCTTCTTGGGAAGGGAAAGCCATATGCTCCATGACTGAGGTGGCAGAAGGTCAGCATAATGGGTTGGAGTTACAACAAACATTAAATGGAAAGAGCAGAGAATTTGCTAATGGGGCTATTTGTGGTTCTCAGTAAAGTTCTCCTGGCTGCACAGCATGACCGACCCTGCTTAAATGATGAAAGAGAGGTTAGTAGCCTTGTTTCCATCTGTGATGTAGCTTTAAAATATCACAGGGCCTTAGGTGAGTCATCTTGCCAGGTCAGGCTTAGTACTTCACTGGTAAATTGTGCTAAGCATGTACCAAGCCCTTCTTAGGTTGTAGGAAATCTGGGCAACTGCCCTGTTTGGAAAGCTGGCAGTCATGGAAGAAGCCACAGTTGAGAGTAACAAGCTCTTCAAATGATTAAGTCCTAGGTCTACTGTTCTGCAAATGATAGCTTGGTGACTTTGGGATAAGAGGGTAAAGTCCTTTGATTCTGTGTCCTCATCCATAAAATAAGGAGAAAAATGAAATCCAACAACATGGGCTGTTCTGCATATTAAAAAGAGAGATTAAAGCACTTAGCACTGTGCCTGCCCTTCGTAAGTACTCAGTAAGTGAGAGCTAATTATTATTTCCAAATACCTCTTACTTGGAACATTTCCTTTTTGAAAATCCTTTCCCCTTCACCACTACCTCTTGATTAATAGACCTGAAGTTTTTTCCCTTTCATTTATTGGGTACTTGCTCTGTGCTAGTGGAGTTTGAATATAATTCCTAATTACTATTCCTTATCATTTCCATAGTAATAGGCTGTTTTGCTCCACTGATGCATGGGAAGCCAGAACCAAAGACCAGGCTTATGGCTTCTTTTCGCAGGTGGTTTATTCCTTCTTTACTTGGAAAGGGCTTTGGGGCAAGGGGAGGGGCTTGCAGAGCCTGTCTGTTGGCTTGCTTAGTTATGTCCACAGATCACAGGACAAGTCTAAATAGTTTTTCCTGGGCAGAGGAGGAGGATTTTGTGAATTTTAGGTGGACTAGGCCTCCATTTTGGTTCGATTGCTTGGGGTTTTTATTTCCTGTCTTGGTGTGGTTTGAAGGATGAATAGACAGCTTAGCACTATATTGACATCCAGACTTCTACCTGAGCTTAACTTTCAGACTTCCTTCTTTACTCCTTCCCAACTCTTGATATCTGGCACCCCTCTAGATAGGTTGATTTTTTTTTTTTTTTTTTTTTTTTTTTTTTTTTTTTT